AAATGAACCACAAAATATCACACCATCGAATAACTCAAAGTGTTGTTCTTACGCACATTCTTTATTCACAAGCCAATCTATAGGAGAGGCGTCTCTGAATGGGATAGAGCCATCATTTCTCTTAACAAAACAAGGGTTTCAAATTTTGCCACAGTGAACCAAGAACTCTCAACTTTTGTTAAACACTTTATTTTGTATCCCATGTTATACATGTATAATTGAGTTTTGTTTCATGTTAAAAGTTGAGTTTTAGAGCTTTCACTATGATGAAATTGTTTACGATTTAATGTAATTTGAGTTGATAATGTGTCACTATATCAGCAGATTACGCAATTATGATTCTATAGTATATATTTGATTCTAAGCAACATTTTTTTCCAAGTATACATTTGAGGATGTGCTCTGTTTAACAGCTTAACTAATTAAAGCACAGAAATTAATTATATAACATGTAATCAGTATCGAATATTAATACTCAAAAACTGTATTTTGAACATTACTTCAATTAAACATTTTGCTTTTAACAATGTGGAAAAACTTGTCCCACTCGAAATACATTCCATCGAATTCATCTCAGGAAAGTAAAATACCAGAGAAATTTTGACCGTTTACTGAAAACAGTCAATAAAATCGTTTGTCGTTGAAATGAAACGAGCAAATCCCAGTCTGACTTTAACGAACAAAATAATTTCTTATTAAGTACTTAAATCTGTGATTATAGATAACAATTTTAATCTCTTTTGATATTACAAATTATTGCAAACAGATTCAGTTAATTACCTGTATTTTTGTCAATTTTGGTTTGTTTTGACCACTAGATTTGGGGATCGGTGTAAATGAAGGGCCGGGTTAACATTGGTTGAGGATGGATGGGGTGGAGGATGAATGATTAGTGGTGTCGAGGGGGTTAGGGATTGAAGATGAGGGGCGGGGAGCAAAATATGATGCCGATTGTTACTTCATCAAGAACAACGAATGGCACTAAGACAATGGTGTAGTCTACTTATCCCATTTACCCCACGGATTCTTAAAATGCTAAAACATGTAGACAGAACAAAATGAGAAATGAAAAATGCTGGATGTCAGGCCTGTGTATCTTTCGTTTTCACGCAAGTCATAAAATAAAATTGGGGATTTGAAGAGATAAGGCAATGAACCCTTTGGCCTTCCAATTCTGAGCATTTTGGATGCAATCGGGCTCGAAAGTGGCGCTATTGTGTCATGTTGTGGAGGGATCGTTTTTGAAGATGGCTACTGTTCCACTTTGGGAAAAAATAGGGGTCGCCTTCTTTGGGTGAGAATATCTCGGAAAGTCAATGGTAAAAAAAAATGAAAATAAAATAAAAGATGATACGTTGATTATCTTTTGTTTCTGTACAGCTATACCCCTGAGAGTTCTGAGTATTTTTACAAGAATTTTGAAGTATGGGCATTTAGCACTTGTGTCTATGGGAATTTTAATACAGGGCTGTTTAGGGTCCTAAACTCACGCTAGCCCGGATAAGAGACACCCTGGCGCGGCGGAGACACGCCCAATGCAGTGTCATTTATTAATCCTCGGAAGGATTTGTTTTCTTTCTCAAAACAAACAAACAAACAAACAAACACAGAAATGAGTTTAAATTGCACCATAGTGGACCAATGACTCTTAAATGTAATTATTGTTTTCTACAAATTATTTTCATCGGATTTTTAACGTGTTAAAAGTTTGGTCTTAGAGTTTAATTCTGATGAAATGATTGTTTACGATTTAATGAAATTTTAATTGTTAATGTGATACTATCAGAGCATTGTTAAAATGTAGTTATAATTCTATTGCAAATGATTATTTTATTGAACAAAACGTGTAGTTTATTTTCAAGTGCATTTACATTTCATAATATCTCTTTGTTTAATCGCCTAACTAATTTAGTAATATCATGTGATAAGATATAGAATATAAATTCTAAAAAAACCAAGGTTTTGAAAACACTAGTTTTTGATAATGTGGGACATACATGCCCCTTGTAATACACTCTGGAAGAATGAAATCGAATTCTCCAGAAAGTAGAATTGCAAAGACATTTTGAATATTTAGTTTAAAAAAATCATTTTGTCGTCGAAATGAAAGAGCAAATACCAATCTGACTCTTGTGAACAAATGTCCTATTAAGTACTAAAATCAGTGATTATTATTAACAATTCTAGTCAATTTGATATTGGAAATGTTTGCACTAATTCAGTGAGTTACTTTGTATTTTTGTAAAGTTATTTTGCTGTTTTGTCGTCTTGAATTTGGGGTTCGTGTTCAAGGCCCGGTACAGATGTGTGTCGAGGGTGTTAGGGGTTGAAAACGGGAGGGGCAACAAAACTGATACCAATAGTTATTTATCTTTCAATAATTGAACAAGACAGTTAATATTACTAAGACGATGGTGTAGTCCACTCGTTTCATTTCCCCCACGGATTCTTGAAATATAATAATTAATCATTTGGGGGCTAATGATCCTTACTCGCAGCTCGGATGCTGAATTGCGAAGGGCGCGGCTACAACGTGGTCTGGCCGCTGGCACGTAAAGGCGCCTATGGGCTGCCGGCCACATTGACCCATTTTGACCACGGAGAACAGCCTGAGATCGAAAGTGTTTGATTTTGCCGGATGGAGGAAAACCGGAGGGCATGGAGAAAAACCCTCGTGGCACAGGAGAGAACCAACGCACAACTCTACTCACACGTGATCCGCGGCCAGGATTCGAACCGTTGTCACCCTGGTGAGAGGCGAGCGCTTTATGCACAAGCCACCAGCGCCACCCAAAATGCTAGTATAATGTAGTCAGGAAAAATAATGAGGGAAAAATGAAACGCATCCCCACGCCTATCGATTCTGTAAACGCTAGCTTGCTGGGTATCAGGCCCTTTACCTGCACCCCTTCCCCTCTACTCACCGCCTAACATAACTGGAAGGTCATGGACAATTTGGTTCTGTATCCGCCGTGAAGGGGCAGGGTGTTTAGGCCGTTTGGGTCTGAAGGTTGTAAAACATTAATTAGGTGGTTGCGTCATGCAGATTGATGGTAGATGGGTGAGATGGGGGGGGGGGTGGTGGCAAAGCCTTGGTGAGAGAGGCTTGATAGGGTGAAAGTTGAACCCACAAGAAGTCAGCTTACGGGCAGGTATGTTAGGGGCAGGGTCGTTGCCAAGTGTAGCTGTGAGGTCTGAGTACCCGATTTAGTAAAAAAAAAAAATGGTCTGCGCATTAAACAGGCGGCCAGCTCCTCATGCCAGACGGCGTAGTACGGACGTTTTGTCCTCTTTGCCCCTGGTTATAGCTGTCCCAACAATCCCCCCCCGTGATTTTCAAATATCCGATGGCAGATTTATTTCAGTAAAATATGATTGCTGGACGTTCGCATCGTCGTCAAAATCATGGTCCCGGCCGGATGATGAGAAACGATACCTCACTTCAAACTCAGTGGCGTAACCAGGGAAGCTAGGGAGGGCGTTCCTCACCACTCAGCCTGCCTGGGATTCGAGGGGAAGCGCTTAACTCTTTGAATTGCTTCCTCCAGAAAATGAGGAGTCTTAATTAAGGTCCCTTTAATGAATCACGCCAATGAGTAATACTTCGCAGCGTATTATCTCTCGAAAATACTAGGATTAAAAACGACAAACCCTTGATAGGTATAAGAATAGGTACTCTTTGGAATTGTGGGCAGTATTGTTCCGCTAGAAATCAGGTACACTCAGGGGCACACTTAGTGATTATTTTGGACTTTCGGTAGAATATGGGCCATCGTCTTTTCAAATTTGCTGAGTAGGTATTCTTATAGGCCGGCCTATTTTAGCGGGTAAAACTGTTAGTTGTCATCAGCAGAAAATTGATGAGTGAATTACTAAAAACATTGGCACTCGATAGGTAATACCCAACGAAAAACAAATGTCACTACACGACTGTTAATGCTGTAAAAATAGATTTACTCTTCCTCTTCATGTCGACGAAACTATTAATAGAAAGGGAAACAACAGTACTCTAGAATTAAATATGAGCGTATGAGGAAATCGTACAGCTTTCACCCTTCTCCGCCTCAGCATTTTGGTTCGGGATCCGCCGTTGGCTGCCCAGGGTGGTTAGGAGGGGGAAGGGATGGTGAGGGCAGGGGTTCAATATGGGGATTCGTGCTTGGCTTGGAGATCAGGCTATTAAAGGCTAATGTTTCGTAAGGAAAGAAGTTTGTTGCACATGGTTGTATCAAAGCAGTTGGGTAAGTTTGGGATTAGGTTTGATTAGGCGAGGGTCAAAATCGGAGTTGGCATAATTATGTGTTTGGTTTTAGGTATAGGTTGGGCTCAATACGCGGAGGTGAGAAGGCCTCAATGAGCGAGGAGGGGGGTCTGCAGGTGCAAGGTCGATTGCATGCCGAGAAGTTGGCCGGGCCGAGCGCACGTTTGAATAGTGGATGGGATAGATGAATGGTTATAGTTAAGTTGCCTTTGAGAACGGCTGCAATCTGCAAACTAAGTATACTTCATCGTAAGAGGGCGGCAACTGTACATGCTTCTGAACAATTACTACGCTTTCGTTTTTCATCAAAAATGTAGACTGCATAACCTGACTACAAAATACTAGCCACCAAATGCGTGGCTCCATTAAATAACGCGAAGCGCAAAACCAACACTGATTGAATCACGTATGGCCGGTGTACGTCATTATTCTATCCACCAATCAGAGTTAGTCACCCAACAAGTCGGTGACCACAAGTGAGTGGTCTGTGATTGACAGGTGCCAATCACATTCCACGAGTTTGATTGTGTCACCGACATCCATACAATCATTCCACCAATTAGATGCGTCTATTTGAGTGTCGGTGATACAAGCTTCGGGTTTAACGTGTGGCACTGTAACATTAACATCATTTCCCTCTCATCAATATGAAGCGAGTCGGTGATATGTGATTGACAGCGCGCAGGGACCAATCACAAACCGGGCTTGCAAGTTCCTCAGTCACTGCTCGGGAAATCGACGTCAATATTTAAGTCACAAGCTGCCGGCTCACTCCTCACAACGACCGCAGCTCATGTCCACGTCCAGACGACAACCCGAGAGAACTGTTTGCAAGATCGAACAAGAATTGCACGGTGAGTCTTTGAAACAATCTTTGACGACAATTCTGCTGACTTTGGAATTGATCTTTTGTGATATATGACATTGACACATATTTGCTTATAGCCAAAACGGCGAGATATAAATATTTCCGACCATGATGATTCCTTTTCCATACGGTAACTCGATGACCTATCAATAGATGCTTAAATAATCATCAGATATTATAATGTATATAATATAAGCTGAATTAGCTCTTAGTCCAAACAGTTGATGCAGATTCATACCAACATTTTGTGAAGCCAAAGTTTCAGGTAACAAATGTTAAGAGCAAATAATCAGGGTTTTCATTTTATTTGTTCTGAATAAGGAATTCCTGTATGATAATATTATCGCTGTTACTTCCATGGTGCACTCTCAACAAACAATTGTCCAAAATTCTGACTGATTTCTCTAGCTCTTGAAAATTCACTTGAATTGTTGTCACTACCGATAACACACTATAAATCTATGCAAGTTTTATAGTTTTTATTGCCATTCAGGTTCGCCAGATTTCTAGTCATACCTGGCTAAAGGTTTTCAAGAGCGTATTACATGAAATTGCATATTGTTCACGCACTTACACAATATTTCACATGATAAATTAAAACTTTTTTAATTAAAAGAAAGAAATATTGCGAGAGCTCAACACTTGACCCATAATATCGGTATGACCATTCACCCCCTTTATTTTCTTGCTAGTTTTCCCTGTTTATTGTATCAAACATAAAATCCCGATGCGATGCGCTCACCTTTTTTCCGGTAATCACTCTAACTAATTGAGGATTAAAGGTTATGCGGAAGTTGGCAACGGAAGAACGTATACAGGAAATCGGGACATCTCAAACATCCTGTCCTATGTTGTGTAATTGAAAACTGGGATAATCTCAATACCTTTTGGTCTTTGTTTTTAAACTGTGTCATTTCACTAGTTCACAGTGCGCCATTCCGGTTTGATCACTACATGTATACACGTGTAGGCCTAAGCGTTACTTTTAAGCATTGCGTGATAAAAGTGACACTGGTCAGAATAGACTAGAGGGCGCACATACGAACGGACCGGATCATGATCACACTTTATTCAAGCTCAAATTGCTTTATCTAGCTGGATTCATTTCTAGGAATCATGTTTGTACAAATTATTCGGGCCGTCTGTTCTGCTGTCAGACTTCAACGTTTGAAGCACCAGCTTTCAGATGAATTCAGCCATGTTTGCATGCAGGGTTCCACTGAGAATGTCACGTAGATTCTGTTAAATATCTTTTTTGAAAAAAGCTGTATTTTCAGTGTTTAAAATTTGCAATAATAGTACAGATTTTCCAAGACACTTTCATGTTTGACAAACAGATGGTGGCTGATGCTAATAGCCAAACCGCGGTGCGCTGATTTCCCACCGCCGGGGAAATAATTCTTTGTGTAACGACTGTAACTTAACTGCGGTGGTCCACCTGTAATATTTCCGCCACTATACTTCACTGGTATGAGATCGGTTTTCCATATCAATGCAGAAAATAACCCAATAACTCATTTTTTTAAAAGCCAGCAATCTGCTCATATGTTGATGATTTTTTTCGTGATAAAATTCAAGAACATTACATCAAGTGAGTAGTTTTTATATTGTAAATTTTCTCTCAATTTAGCGTGACAACAGGATAGTATTTTGGCGGAAGATTATGTTTGTTTATGCACCGATAACGTTTCGGTCACCATTATCAACAGAAAACGTCATTCGATTCAAAACAAAGGTGCGAAGTTGATATTTAAAGAAGTGAGGGATCCCCTCCTGTCGTTCTCAGACATGCAATTTCGTATATGAAGCCAATCAATTTAGATTTTGCATCTTTCTTTTTAGAAAGGCAGATTACTCGACATATCGTGACCGGGTTCTCCAGGAAAAAAATAGTTTCATTTTTGTGTATGTCTACATACAATTTACAAACTAAAAAGATACAGACACCAAAGATTGAAGACTGCATTAACCCTAAAGGGGCCGGGAGCGGAATCCACCCCCCCCCCCTCAACATTTTCCGCGATAGCCTCAAAAAAAAAAAGAATTTCGCGACCCGAGCTGTTATGACGTTTTAGCCTCGAGCTTTGCGCATCTTTTGATACCAAAAACAAAAAAAATCGGACCACGGGTTGCCGCGTAGCTACGCGCCGTGAAAACTGAATTTTCACATATGGGTCATTCCATGTCAGACCAATTGCACTTTTTTACCTCATGTCTTCCGATTTTGATAAAAATTGCTGTGCTTGTAGGTACTGATGAGCAATGAATGCACCACAATTTTTAGCCCGATCCGACCTACCATGTGGTCAGGGCAGAAACAACAAAAAATGGTCATTTTTAGAGTAAAATACCAACCTTTTGGTAGAAATATGTCAAAACCATGTTAATTTTCATCGAATATATGCGAATTTAGTATCAAAATAATAAGAATTGCATGCTCAAAGCAACTCTTTTGTCAAAATTAAATTTTGTGAAAAGGAGGTCACGTGACCTTTAATAAGTTATCGTGACCTCTGACCCAATTTATGTATTAATGTATCATTCCGAAAATCAATGAAATGAAAATGACTTGATAGAGCATGTCTTCCTCTATCAGAATCTGCTAAAAATCAATTGGGGTCTTCAAAATTTACAACTTTATTACTATTTTTGTCAGTTGGTAGGTTACAAATTAGTCAATTTATAGACTTAACTTTACAAATCCACCCACACAACTATATTATTCTGTTTCTAAAGCTACTTAAATTAATCTTGGTTTGGGAATGTCTCATGTTTAGGGCTGATGAGGTATAACCAGACTCATAATATAAATTATCAGCAGTGGCGTACCCAGGATTTTGCTTTTTGTGGAGGGGGGGGGGGGGGCTCATATATTTTTTTTGTAAAATTTCTGTAGGAGATTGAAAAAAAAATCAAACATACAAATTGACAACCTTGGAGGGGGTATGTTCAAGCCCCTTGAGCCCCCCCCCCCGCCACTGATAATTAGTTATCCCACGAGCGCGCTTGGAATATTGGAATATGAAACAATGCAATGCTGCTGTGACCCATATGCCACCCGACGCACTACATTATTTCGTGTTCCACGAGCCATATAACGCATTTATCTTCAAGCAAACTTGACGTCGGATGTGTACATGTACATTGCACGTGGTGAGGGATGTAGGTGAATAGTGTATCGGACCGTTCAGCAGCAAATAAAAAAGAACACAATACATACATGTACATGTACATTCGAAAGCTACGAAAGCCCATTAGCGCCACTGCAAGTATATATGTTGCGGATTATTTAATTCGTTATTACGGATTATTAATTCGTTATTACGGATTACTAATTCGTTATAACTGATTATTAATTCGTTATTACGGATTATTTAATTCGTTATTACGGATTATTAATTCGTTATTACGGATTATTAATTCGTTATTACGGATTATTAATTCGTAATAACGGATTATTAATTCGTTATTACGGATTATTTAATTCGTTATTACGGATTATTAATTCGTTATTACGAATTACTCATACGTTCTGAGTCATTACTCGGCAAGTATGGCACAGGAGTGCAAACGTTGTATGCAAAGATAGCGCCGCCTAGCGGCGTTATATACATAGGCCCCTGGTCACGTGCTCTCCACGTGTGAGAACATCAGACTTAATTCGTAATACAGGGGTGTGAGTGACCACTGATAAAAAAAGCTGAATTTTGGAGATCTCCTATACTTTTGTACACACCAAGTGAGGGAAAAAGCCCGAAAAAAAGCTGAAATCCAAAACCAAAAAAGCTGAAATCAGCTTTAAAGCTGAGATTTCACAATAACAATTAATAATCCGTAATAATGAATTAAATAATCCGTAATAACGAATTAATAATCCGTAATAACGAATTAAATAATCCGTAATAACGAATTAATAATCCGTAATAGCGAATTAAATAATCTGTAATAACGAATTAATAATCCGTAATAACGAATTAATAATCCGTTATAACGAATTAATAATCCGTAATAACGAATTAGTAATCCGTAATAACGAATTAATAATCCGTAATCCGTAATCCGCTAATGGGCTTTCGTAGATATCTAGGGTGCAATATGGCTGTGCAATATTATATCAAATCACACTGTTGCTATAGATGGACTATTCAGGGTCTAGGATTCAAGTTTGCTTGAAGATAATACTTAATATCGCAATCAAGTTACCTCATTCATCACTGCGCTTCTTGAAATTTAATGAGTCTCACAGACTTGGCAATTGCTTCCTTCGAGATAAATTTCACCTGGATGTGTGTCAGCTGTATTGGGTCCAGGTAGTAAGCATAGAGCTGTTGCGTACCCCAAACAGTAACTGCTGATGACAATCGACTCTCAAGCATTCGACGTCAAGTTTGCATGAAGATAAATTCGTTAACCCACTTGCGCTCGTGGAACACGGAATAATGTAGTGCGTCGGGTGGCATATGGGTCACAGCAGCATTGTATTGTTTCATATTTCAAGCGCACTCGTGGGATAACTAATTATCAGTGGCACCCCGGGGTGGGTAATTTTTGTTTTTCAATCTTCTACAGAAATTTGAAAACAAACAAATTATGAGCCCCCCCCCCCCCACACACACACACACACACACCCACACACAGACTTGTTTCACATAAGTAGTGTGGACTTTCCTTTCTTTTCGTGTAGTTAAGGAACACCAGTGGAAAAACTCATTTTTCTCAAACTGTGAAAACTCTTTCAACCCAATTTTTTTTCTATGATTCCCTTTAGTGTTTCTCTTCATTCTGCTACAGATAAACCTAACCCAAAAATGCCTCTAAACCTGTTTTCCAGAAATGGGGAAACACTGTGTGGACGTGGGCAAGTCCACACAACGTCGGTGCTACCTACATTATGTGGACGTGTTTTGTTCGGAAGTCCACACTGCGTATGTAAGACAAGCTCACAAACGCAAAATCCTTGGTGCGCCACTGCTGATAATTTATATTATGAGTCTGGTTATACCTCATCAGCCCTAAACATGAGACATTCCCAAACCAAGATTAATTTAAGTAGCTTTAGAAACAGAACAGTAAGTTGGATTTCTCAAGTAAAGTCTATAAACTGACTAATTTGTAACCTACCAACTGACACAAATAGTCATAAAGTTGTAAATTTTAAAGCCCCCAATTGATTTTTAGTGGATTCTAATAGAAGAAGACATGCTCTATCAAGTCATTTTATTTTCGTTGATTTTCGGAATGATACATTAAATCATAAATTGGGTCAAAGGTCACGATAACTTATTAAAGGTCAAGTGACTTCCTTTTCACAAAATTTAATTTTGACAAAAGTGATGATTTAAGCATGCAATTCTTAATATTTTGATACCAAATTTGCATATATTCGATGAAAATTGACATGGTTTTGACATATTTCTGCCAAAGGGGTGGTATTTTACTCTAAAAATGTGTGCATTTATTGCTCATCAGGACCTACAAGCACAGCAATTTTTACCAAAATCAGAAGACATGAGGTAAATAAGTGCGTTGGTCTGACATGGAAAGACCCATATACGTCGTGTACGCAAAGCAGAATTGGCAATCGTACATATGAATAATTAAATAGCCATAATTCCAAAACCCTTTGACCTACATTCATGAAATTTCTTGGGTATGTTAAGGAAGAGTTGTTCTATGCATGTGCTGAGTTTCAACATTTTTCGTCACTCGATCGATGGCCGTGATCTTGGGGGGGGGGGGTGGCGGAATCCGCCCCCCTCCCGGCTGAAAGATTGTCAAAATAACCCGGCCCCTTTAGGGTTAACCGTCAATCGTAATTGCAAAAAAAAAAAACAATTGGATTGATTTTCAGTATTTTTTCTCCATTATCTTTTTATTTCCACATGGTGATTACTAAAATTAACTGGTCAATATATAAAAAACAAAATCTGTCTCTTTTTCGTGAGAGGCCGATTTTTGGGCGAGTGCTAAAAAGTTAATTCTTTCTGTCACTTAATAGACACTTAACAATAAATTGTTAAGTTCTGATATGCACGTTTCATGATTCCCTCCCTGACATTTAAAAAAGAAAAAACTTTTCAAAACATCATGTCATTTTATACCTTATTTTAACACTGCCACATAATATCTTCAAGGGCGGATCAACAGAGTTTATTGCCGGGCGAAGTTTGTGCCGGGAGAAAGGGTGAGGGTGGAATGACACTCTCAATTGAATTTTTGGCTTTTTTGATAGATATTCGGTCACTGCCAGGGGAGGGCACCCCCTCCGCACCCCTAGAGCCACCACTGATCTGGCTAAAATGCCGATTTGTATTAAACATAAATGACTTAATTTGTGAAAATAAGCATGAAGTTGAATTCCCGAGCTGGACTGAATCTAAAGCACAATAAATTCAATGCAAATACGTCAATTGCCTACTTTTGTAAGCGTATAGTGAAGATAATCTGATCGGCGCTAACTTCAACTGGGTTTGAGAATGCTAACGGGTTTGTATGCGAATTTGAAAGAAAGTGTTCACACATTGAATGAGCAAGGTGTGAAATTGGACGGGAAAAACATATTTAAATGAAGAATATGCTGTTTTAAAAACGCAGATAATTATGCTTTCAAAAATGATTCAATGAGTTACTAGTGCCTCAAAAATACACAGATTTTTTTTGGACAATGAATTTGAATAAATTGTAAAATGAATTTGATTAAAGGCTTTCATGCAAGCGTTTGAATCAATTTAATGTTGATTTCAGCGAGCATTCAGGATAAAAATGTCGCAAAGCGTCATTAAAACATGTTGCTTTTTCTGGGCGTATTCGGTCACGTAAATGCAAATAATCTTTGACCATTGTTTTTATTTGTGAATAATTGTTCCTGGTTTCGAATGATTATTGATCAAAGTGAAAAAAAAACCTCAAAATTGTATTAAAATCAATGATTAAAGTATTTCTTTCTTTACTCAAGCATAAACGTTACTAGTTTTCTTTGTTTATTATTTTTCAGCCTACAGTGAACTCCTTGATCTCTTCTTGGACCTGATCTTCAAGACTTCAAGACCGAACCATCGAGGTCGGTGTGATGATGTTTAATTGATTCTATCATGATTCCATGGAAAGGGCATGCCGTCACATAACAAAAATAATGTAATTCGGTCTCCTTTCCAAACTTTTATCGGCGGGCAAAACAATAATACTAACAAGTGTTATCCCCTTGCTCTCGGATAGGCCACTGCCGACACATTCTCTGAATAATGATTCCTCAAAATTATGTCTCGTATACAAATTCTTCAGTTTATGTAGTGATTTTGTTTGTAATATTAGGCCCTGTATTGTTTTCCTTTCAGATGAAGATCTGCGTGGCCACCATTCTGTCAATCGCCCTCCTTCTGGGTAGCTCTGTCAAGCTCCGAGCTTCCGTTACGATGCCGGTTCCCTCGGATGGCGATGGTCCTGCGTCTCAGGTGTGTCAGCAGTGCTGCCAGGGACCTGCTGCAATACCTGGTATACCGGGTCTCCCTGGCACAGTAGGACCGATGGGGCCGTACGGTCAGCCGGGGTCAAAGGGCGATGCGGGTCAGCAAGGTGAGATTGGCCCATTTGGGCCTATGGGTGAGCGGGGAGCATCTGGGAACACTGGGTCTAAAGGTGACGATGGGATTGGTCTGCCCGGCAAGATAGGTCCGAGAGGGCTACCTGGTATTGTTGGAGGAACTGGGGAAATTGGTGTCAAAGGTCAGAAGGGTGAGCCAGGGGAGACACCAGACGACTCCAACAAGCGGGTGGCATTCACCGTGGTGAGGACGAGCAACTCGGATACATCTACGAGTCACGACACCCGTTTGCCCTTCCAGCAGGCCGAGACGCTTCTGCCGGGTACCAGCTTCGATCTCGAGACCGGCACGTTCACATGTAGTGTTCCGGGCACCTACGTATTTACGTTTTCTGTTCTCAAGTATAGCAACAGCGGAACCCTTTTCATCCATCTTGTTAAAAACAGCTACAAGGTGATCACTACCCATGGTACATCAAATCAACTTGGTCAGTTGTCTGGTAGCGCGGTGCTGGTTCTGCAGCGAGGAGACACGGTGTTTGTTACCATGTCCGGTAGGGCGCAAAGTGGTACCACCTATCACTACACCTCATTCAGTGGCTTCCTCCTTTTCTCCGAATAAATAAATAATAAATAAATTAAATTAAATCACAACGCATAAATATTCAGGAGTAGTGCTGCATATTTTTTGTTTCGCTTTTCATTTTGCCAAAACAGTAACCAATGGATTAAAAGAAAAATGTTCAATGTCATGATAATAAGAAAGATAATTGATTCTTAATACTAAGCATTTTACATTAAAGTATAAAAACGCTTTACCAGACATCAAAACTGCATAAAAACATTAATTAAAAAGAAGTTAAATATATGACTTTTTAAAAAGAAGGTTTTAGCGTGTAGCTGCGATTAAAAAAACATCCAAAATCATTATTTTTGTGCTCAAATAACGTGGAAGCAATAGCAATGAATTGAATGAAATCGGGTGATATCATTTATTTATCCTCGGAAAAGAAAAAAAACATGAGTTTCAGTTGCGCCACAGCTGACCAAGAACTCTCAAATTTCGTTAATACTTTTTTTTGTATTACATGTTATACATGTGTAATTCAGTTTTAGTTTTATGTTAAAAGTTGAGTTTCTAGAGCTTTCCTGATGACAAATATTAGTTGATAATGTAAATTATACATCTTAGGATACTGCTCTGTTTAACAGCTTAACTAATTTACAACACAGAAATTAGTCATTATGACATGTAATCAGTTTCGGATATAAAATACTCAAAAAACTGAATTTAAACACTTTATCTTTTAAAAATCAGGAAAGTAAAATTACAGAGACATTTTGACCGTTTACTGAAGACAGTTAGTGAAATCGTTTGTCGTTGAACGAACAAAACCCAATGTGACTCTTGTGAATTTTTTTTTTATTAATTACTCTAATCTGATGTGGTTATTGTTAACAATTATAATCGCTCTGATATTAAAATTTATTGCAAACAAAGTTTGTTAATTACTTGTATTTTTGTCTATTTATTTTGGTTTTGACTTCTTAATTGGGGATCGTGAAAGGCTGGCTTAATATTGTTTGCGGGTGCGTGGGGTGGATGGTTAGTGGGTGTCTAGGGGGTAAGGGATTGAAGATGGGGGGAGGCAAAATATGATGCCAAATGTTACTTATCTTTCAGTAATTAGACAAGAACAGTGAATAGCATCAAGACGATGGTGTAGTCTACTTATCCCATTTACCCCATGGATTTTTAAGATGGTAATACATGTAGACAAAACAAAAATTAAATACCCCTCCCCCCCCTCCCGCCTTTCGATTTTGTAGAGTTGCCAGCTTGCTGGATGTCAGGTTCATATTTATTTGCCCCTCCAAAACCAGAAGCCCACCGACAGTGTTGTTCTGCATCCGCCTGTGAAGGGCAGGGTGTTCAGGTTGGCTTGGGTAAGCGTGATAGAGATTAATAGGTGGTTGCGTCCCGCGGGTTGGTGGGATATGGATGATAATGAGAGGGGGACCCTTGGTGAGAGAGGCTGAATAGGGTGAAAGTTGTACGATTCCCTTTAATACCCACATCAGCTTACAGACATCTTGTATGTGTTAGGGCCAGGGTCGACGACAAGTGCATGGGGGATGGATGTGGGGTGCGACACCTGATTAGTCAAAATGGTCGCTACAGTGGCTAATTGTCAGACGTAAACATTAAACAAGCGGCCGGTGTGGACGGTAATTCTGTCCCCCGGTAAAAGTGTCCGGGGGGACATAATTACCTAGGTAAAAGTGTCCCCCCTGTCCCGTTAATTCTGTCCCCCTCCAGGTAATTCTGTCCCCTCCGGTTAATTCTGTCCCCCCTGGTTTTGCACGCGTAAGTTGTTATATTGATGTTATTATAATGAATTCAGCGCACAGGGTACACATTTTTAGATTTTTCCACCCTTCATCAATGATTATCAAAATGAAATTAACGTTTAGATGTTAATCAACCGATCTATGTTTCTGCAAGAAGGCACGCGTAGTAATACTCAACCTATCGCTAGCGCGCGCACGCCCTCCGTAGGTGCGGTACACTCGCACGCACGCCCACCATGCAAATCGCTCGCTCCCGAACGAAGTCGTCATCAAAACGGGAGTTGTGCTTTGCCGTAAGCACCATTCCCGAATTTAGCAAGGCGCCGCGCAAAAAAGTTAATAACTTTACTAATATACAGTCTGGGTGCTAGACTTGTGACGTTGCACGGGGACACATTTACCGTAGGGGGGGGGGAACACATTTTAACGTCGTGCAGGAGGACAGATTTACCTAGAGGGGGACAGGTTTAGGGTAAAAGTGTCCCCCCGGACAGATTTACCGGGTCACGACCCGATAAATCTGTCCGGGGGGACACATTTGAGGGGGGACAGAATTACCTGCCACACCGGCTCCTCATGCCGAACGGTGTGGTCCTGTCCTCATTGAACAGCGCCCCCTGTCATCGTGAGTGTGCCCTGCAGGTTAACTGTACTGTCCTCCTTAAGCCTCCCCCGCAATTTTCAAATATCCATTGGCAGATTTATATCGGTACAAAACAACTTACTGTACGTTCCCATCGTGGTAAAACATCGGTAAATATATGCCTGAACCCATCCACGAGCTCGTCCATAAAAGTCATACCCTTAAAATGTCCTATAATTATAGAGAGTTCTGAGAGCCATGAAATTGGGAAATTGAATAGATATGGCAACTGAACCTTTGCCCCTGGACTTGGGGATTCTTATTCTGAGCATTTTGGATGCAACTTGGCTCGAAAGTGGCGCTATTTTGCAATGTTGTGGAGGGATCGTTTTTCAAGATACTTTTCCGCATTGGGGAAATAGGGGTCGTCTTCTTTGGGTGAGAATATCTCGAAAAGTCAATGGCAGCTCAACCCACCAAAAAAATGAAAAAAAAAAAAAAAAACATACATGTATGTTGATCATCATTTTTCTGTGCAGATAATACCTACATAGTGTGAGCTAGTTCTAAGAAATTTGGTCCAGTGATTTGTCATGATGACTGTGCTACATTATGATATTAATTATTCAGGAGAAACTGTCAAACAATGAAAACAATATTCATAAATACCTGAGACAGTTTACGCATTCCTATTGGTCGAGAGCCCGTCGCGTTGCCGGTCTTAAACGGATGATAAAGACATGAATAGCTGGTATCATCGCTTTTCCAGTGTCACATGAAATTTGGACTCCTATGAAATCCGGTGCCTTTTTAACGTTTCATTGGTTGAACGTTCAAATTCCTACCAGTGAATCAGTATTTCATGGTCCGAAATTCACACTTCACCAGCCCAGCTGCGTTTTGCGCGACATCGCGCAGTATGCGCGACGCGCACGCCAATGTCCCTATAGGGTAATGAGATGTCGAGGGGCATTCCATATTATAGCCAGAGGGGTGTTTCGTAAAACATAATGTAAAATTGTTGAACAAAATGGTTGGCAACGTCTAGTTTTTGACATTTTTTTTTTATTTTTGGACCGAAAAGGTATTTAAGAGTGGGAATAAATGTGTGTTCGGTCGGTATTAAAACTCTGTTTAAGACCGGTTTGAGTCTGGATGGCTTCGCCTCGGGTAATTTTCGCCCATCCAGACTCAAACCGGTCTTAAACGGAGTGTTATTATACCTCCCAAACACACACATTTATTCCCTTAATAATGACCGAAACAAATATAGCATCTTAAACGCGAAAAATACAGACCGAATGAAAACAGAAAGTCAACGTCCAAGAAATGACACACCCGTTTTTTGGGGGGGCCGGGCAATAACCCAAGCCTGCCAGGCCCAGATGATGATGTGTCTGATATATGTTACTCTAAAGGAGAATCTATTTCACGAGAAACCGTCAAACAACAACTTTTTCGTGAAAGGGCGCGCTAAATAAAACTAGTGTTAAGTTTCCATCAATAGAGGGCGCGCCTCATAAATAGTGTTCTCCACAAAGCATCAACTTAAGGGCAAGTTCGCGCAAGGACTATAGTTAGCCATTGTTCGACTAAAGCTTGCCCGAACTCTGTCTATACTAGTCAACGATGGTTGATTACGCTAGTCGACAATTTGGAACCAACCTAGGGCCAAGTTCGCGCAAGGACTATAGTTGACCAATGGTTAACTAACGTTTGCCCGAACTCTGTCTAGTCGACGATGGTTGACTACGCTAGTCGACTATTTGGAACAAGCCTACTGGGGTTGGTTGCTTCGCTGGTAACCAATAGCCGCGCGCATTCATAACGCTAGCAGGGAGCCAGGATCCAGAAGTTTTGCGATGACATTTTGACCAGCGTTTGACTAGAGACGTTCGCACGTTGCTATCAGTGCGCAGGCGTAAGGTACGTCACAAATCAACCACTAGTCGACCAATGGTCCTTGCCCGAACTTGGCCCTAATGGGGCTGGTTGCATCGCTGGTAACCATAGCCGCGCGCATTCATAACGTACAGCAGGGAGCCGGGATCCAGACGATTTGCGATGACAATTTGACCAGCGTTTGACTAGAGACGTTCGCACGTTGCTATCAGTGCGCAGGCGTAAGGTACGTCACAAATCAACCACTAGTCGACTAATGGTCCTTGCCCGAACTTGGCCACGGATGCTGCAATATTGAGCAAAAAGAACAAACTCGTTTTTCGAGAAACAACTCAAGAAATACAAGATGTATCACATTGAAATTTCGTGCACCGATTTTCCACGATGTGTCACAAGAGGAGTTTGAATTTCAAGAGAAACTGTTGAACAATAAGGCAAATAGGACGGCAACAATGTACTGTGTTTTAAACGCGAAAACTCCACGTTGACTAATTCCATTCGGATTGTATTGTTGTCCGCTTAAAACCGTTGTTACGGTCATATTAGCTTCATTCTTTGCCGGATTCTTATGAAATTAAATCTCGTAATGTTAAACATAAGGCCAAAAAAAAAAGTCTCCGGTTTCTGGTATGCGCGCGCGTTGCCGTAGCCATGCGCGTCGGCAAAATGAAAAAAGTGTGTTTTTTTTTCAATGAAAGATGATGTCTCAAAACCGCCAAACTCACTGGTTTGACTGGAATCATGCTGCTGCACAATTTTAACGTGTTTTTAGATTGGGTTATGGTCGAGAATAATTTTTATGTGGCCTCTCTGGACTGCCATATATTTGCACTAAGTTTAGTCGGGCACCATTTGCAGTCATCAGCCGACATTTGAAGCAAAAAAATCAGGTTAAAAAAAGCCGCGTCGCCGCACCACTTTTTGGGCAAGCTCCATACCAGAAACCGGAGACTTTTTTTTTGGCCTAAAGACAAATCAGTGAACGAAAATTCAATTTCATACATC